CAAGAGTGCGCGGGTACGAATGTACATGTCAACAACGTCGTTGAGTTGACCAGACGTCAATGGGCATAACACAAGCACCACAAGCACGGACTTGATCGCGTCAAGTCAATACTTGCAAAGCCAACTTGACTTTTTTCTCCTCCACCATGGTTGTGCTGTGCTTGACCGTTTCTGCCACCTCTGGCGCGCTTCCGAGACACGAGCTGGCGACTTGAAACGGCCGACTGTTGCTGGACCGTGATTTCGTCACTTCCAGCCCAACCGGCTTTGATTAATCTAGCTATGCACTTACAGTAGTACTTGACCGGACTTTTCTAGTTGCAGACCCCACCAGACCCCCCCAGCCAGCCAGGGCCAGTTGAGTGCGCCGAGTCCAGATTCCTGTTTTGGGCAGGCATTTTTTGGCGCAAAGCGAACCACAAGAAGCAGCAATACCATCCGCTAATACCAGACCGACCGAGTTCTCGTGTGTGCTAAAGCGTCAAGGTCATTTTGAATCCGCTCTTGCCATCTTCAACACATCCCAGCCACCCGTCGTCGCCGTCGCCGTCGCCACGCACGCCGCAGAACATCGCCAGCACACGATTGATTCCCATACGTGGTCGAAGCGCACCACGGCATCGCAGCAACCCGAGACGACTTGCCACTTGAGACACGCACAGTTCGAGTGGCAGCAGACACGCTCCTCCCGCCTGCACTGGCACGCGTCAATACGCTCTCACTCGCAGCCTTTGCGCCAGTCGCCCTGTGTGAGCAAATCCTGGCCGCCGAGCCGTCAGCTTTCCCGGCCCCGATCTGGCGACACATCATCCGACTGCGACGTAGCACCGACGACGACCTTCACAGCCGCGGCCAAGAGGCGACAAAGATGAACGGTCAGCCGGCCGACCCCGAGAAGCCTCCTCCTCCTGAGGCCGCCGCCAGCCCAGGATCCAACGGAGCCGACACATTGGCCAAGAAGCGCAAGAAGGAGAGTCTCAAGCCCATCATCACCACCACCGAGAGCAAACCGCCGCCGTCCAAGCAGAGTCAACAACAGCAACAAGACAGTAGTGGGTGCGTATTGATGCCATCGCCTTTTCTTCGCGTGTCTCTTGTTTTGTTTTTGGACCATTTGTGAGCCATTGTTACCAAAGCTATCCGGGCGCAAAATTTTTTGTTGTTCTTTCTCTTGGCGTTGCGTGGGTTACATTTTTGCTTGCACTGGGAACATGTTGTTGCACACGGCTATGCGCGATGGACGTCATGCCCAATTGACGGCTCAAGTGAGGGCATATACGGGCAACATGTTTGTAATTTTGGAGAGTTACAAAAAGTCGCATCGCGTCTAGTACGCAGAGCTCAGCGCTTTGCCGCGTCCTTCCTTGCCCTCTGCTATCGGGGAACCCTGATGCTGGATGGTGGGCAAGCCTCGCCATGCCAGCACAGACACCACCCGCGGGGAGCTCGTGGACAGTGAGTGGCTGCGTCTTGGCCTTGATGTTGAGCATCTGACACTTGTCCGTGAGCATCTGGCCTTGGACAGACTCGGCAAGCGCCTGGGTTGAAGAGAGCCAGCAGGCAGGCAGGCAGGCAGATCAGTGGACCTCGAGCGTGCAGAGAGGATTCAACCTTTGTCGATGCGTCCATGTCGGTTTGATGACATTTGATCTGGATGCCCCGGCCCGCCCCAGCCCCTTGGCCACGGTCCACTGGAAAGCCTGCCAGCATTCAATGTTCAACCAGGACCAGACTGGACCCCCACGCCCCGGGCCACTCCAGCGCCTAGTTGCCAGCCGCTAGCCGCCCGTCGCCAGTCGCCGTCGCAGGCCGCGAGTCGACCGCAAGTCGCCTCAACCGTCAATCACGCATCACACATTGCACTTCACACACTCGCTTCCCTTCGGACGCGGACTGCATCGCCGTCTCGCATCCTCCCTCTCTTGCTCGACATCTCACATTGCTGCCTCGCCGAACACAGACCGCCCCTTGGGCCCTGCTGTGTAGCCGTTTCTGTCCTGCACCACGGCCTGCCTTCAAACTCTCCCCACCGCACCGTACCAACTCTGCTGCAGTCGACGTCCCTGCGCGACTGCGCGCAATGGTCTCGAGATGAGCTTCCTCAAGTCAAGGTTCTGCCTCCTGTTGCCGCCTGCTCCCCGCCTCCCTTTGCCTTTGCCCTGGCCGTCTTCCCTTTCTGCGCACACGGCATCTATGCTTCATCAATCATTTGACTTTGTGCACGATTGATTGTCCTCAAGTGCTTGCACATGCAACTTTTACCCCTCTACAGCCCGGCCCCATCCCCCGCCATCCCATCGTCCATCCATCACGGCACCGCCTCCCTCATGGTTTTCCTGCCCACCGCTAGTCCATCGTGTCTTGGCCACCACGGCACCCTGCCCGCTTCGACCTTGTTACTAATGCTGCGCCCGTTCATCGTATAGATCACACCAATTGTCCGCCGGCGCGCCTGCCTCGCCATCATCATCTTCTGTCGACGACCCTGCCGAAAACACCGCCGACGAGGAGGATTCTGAGGACTACTGCAAGGGCGGCTACCATCCCGTCCAGGTTGGCGAGAAGTTCAAGGATGGAAAGTATACCGTCGTGCGCAAACTCGGCTGGGGCCATTTCTCAACCGTCTGGCTGTCGCGCGACAACACCAATGGCAAGCATGTCGCCCTAAAGGTTGTCCGCTCCGCCGCCCACTATACCGAAACCGCCATCGATGAAATCAAGCTTCTCAACCGAATCGTCCAAGCCAAGCCCGACCATCCCGGCCGAAAGCACGTCGTCAGTCTGCTCGACTCTTTCGAACACAAGGGCCCTCACGGGACTCATGTTTGTATGGTTTTCGAGGTCCTTGGCGAGAACCTGCTGGGCTTGATCAAGAAGTGGAACCACAGGGGCATCCCCATGCCTCTAGTCAAGCAAATCACCAAGCAGGTCTTGATGGGTCTTGACTACCTTCACCGGGAATGCGGTATTATCCACACGGATCTGAAGCCCGAAAATGTCCTCATTGAAATCGGCGATGTCGAGCAGATTGTCAAAAAGGTGGTCAAGAACGAGCCGGCAGAAAAGGAAAACAACAACCGCAACGGAAGGAGGAGACGTAGGACCCTCATCACAGGCAGCCAGCCGCTGCCGTCACCGTTGAATTCTACCTTTAACCAGTCGAATTTGTTCCCTGGGGGTTCAGCAGCACCGAGCTTTGGCAGCGTTTTGGACCAAGGTAATTTGACATGTTGCGAGGCCGAGGTCAAATGTTGAGCGAGACAATGAGCTGACAAGAACGGGTTGTGTAGCTGCGAACAGGAATAACGAGCCATCGCCCAAGTCAACAGAAGAAACACAAAAACAAAGAGAAAAGACAGCGTACGTTGTTGCATCACGAGCCCCACCCGCCTAGGTATGGCATTGCTGACTTTTCTGCAGAGATATTCTTACCCGAGAGGTGTCCGGAATCTCCCTCGATAAGGCGAGCGGGCCTTCAGCCTCAACGGGTGAGAAGCGCAAGGCCGAGGACGCTCACGCTTTTGATGTCATCAGCGTTAAAATTGCCGATTTGGGCAATGCTTGTTGGGTCAACCACCACTTTACCAACGACATCCAGACCAGACAATATCGATCACCAGAGGTTATCCTTGGCGCGAAATGGGGGGCCAGCACCGACGTCTGGAGCATGGCAGCCATGGTACGTATTGGCTTTCCAAGGCGTTGGGACTACCTGTCGATATATTGCTGCAAAGAAGGACGCTAATAAGCCGGTTTCAGGTGTTTGAGCTAATCACAGGCGATTACTTGTTCGACCCACAGTCTGGCACCAAGTACGGCAAGGACGACGACCACATTGCGCAAATCATTGAACTATTGGGACCATTTCCTCGGTCACTCTGCCTCAGCGGCAAGTGGAGTCAAGAAATCTTCAACCGGAAAGGCGAACTTCGAAATATTCATCGGCTGCGGCACTGGGCGTTACCAGACGTGCTGCGGGAGAAGTACCACTTCAAAGAGGAGGAAGCCAAGAGGATCTCGGCGTTCCTGGTCCCCATGCTAGAGTTGATTCCAGAGAAGAGAGCCAACGCGGGAGGCATGGCAGGCCACAATTGGCTCGAAGACACCCCCGGCATGAAGGGCCTGAAGATTGACGGGCTGGAGGTGGGCGGGCGGGGAGAAGGCATCGAGGGATGGGCCACGGAAGTGAGAAAGCGATAAGGGGCTAATAGACTCACAAACTGGGGCGACGTTACCAGCCAACAAGGAATGATGACCGTCGTTTTTCCTGCACTGACCGTACTGTTCTCTCCATCTAGTAACGGCATGCCGTCCCGGTTGGTTGGTATAGAGGATGGCGTGCGCAATATTGGATCAGCTGCGTGTTAGGTTTATGGCCAGGGTGGCCGGGGTGCAGGCCATTGTCAAATGGCGGCGTGGGCAAAGGGGCCAGTGGGCAGAAATACATGAGCAAATGAACTGTAGCAGGAAGCAATGTCGAACGATATCGATGTGGGACATGATGATGGATGCTGTGGGATGGGGCGGGAGCAAGAGGGGGGGAAGGGGGGCATGAATACATGGGTTTTGCGTGACTGAGCTGGAATAGATAGACCATGCATGACGTTTCTAGAAGTTTTGCGTGTTTGATGGTGCGGTTCGCTCTGATGCTGGCCTGTGACGAGGTGTGAATGCGTGCATGGGCGTGGATGGCTGCCATGTATGTGCCCCCGGATAAAGGAGTCACAACATTCAGCGTGTCTTGGGCAATCTCTAGACTCGAGTGAGCGCTTGGCTTCGTGCTGAGCTGGCTCCTACTGTAACCGCGTCTATGCTTGTAACGCCTTCCTGTGTTTTATATTTACGACGCTAGATGCTCGAGGCATCGGCAAGTGAACAAGATACTTGGAACCCCCTTTCTGAATTTTAATCACGCCAAATGCTCAGGGCAACGACGAATGAACAAACGTCCACGATGCAGTGTGACATGCCTTACTCCATACTCCGTCCGAGACCTGGTTTTACCTGTTTCGCCCCCGAGCCTTGACTGACCCTGCTGGTCCTTGGCTGCCCGTCACCTTGACCTTTGATCCGGCCTCATTCTCATTCTCACTCTCACTCTCCTCCGCATCGTTTGCGGCTTCGGGCTCTGCCTCGGCTCCGTCTTGCCCCCGGGCCTGCAGGACCTCCTCGACGATGCGCTTCCCCTCGTCCACCTGCCCGTTTGTCTTGCCGCACCCCATGCACCGCCACATGCCTACCTCTGCCAGGCTCTTGGTGCCCGGCGGCGCCTGCCCGTTGACCAGCCTGCAGCTCTCGCAGATGAGCGCGAGGCGGTTCTTGGCGGCCGTCTCGTCCTCGCCGAGGAGGACGTCGAAGATGCGGTCGTACCAGTGCGTTTCGGCGTCCATGTATTGCGTGCGGGGGGGAGGGGGCGAGGCGTATGCGTTGGGGGCGAATTCCGCATCGCCCTCGTGCTGCTGGGCCGGCGGCGGAGGCGGCTGCGGCTGCTGCTGGGCATCAGGGCGGACAATGTTTGCCGTTGGCGGAGGGGGCAGGTTCGTTCGTCCGGTGCCGCTTGGGGGAGGGCTTCGTTTCGCCTTCTTGTCCTGGTCTTGCTTGTCTTCCTGCGTGTCCTTTTTGTCGCGCTTCTTCTTCTCCCCGCCGTACTTTTCGATGAGCTCCATGGTGGAGTCGTACTTGGTCGCATCCTTGAGCTTCTGGATCGTGTTGGCGCGTTCGTCCTGGTAGCCCTTTAGCCGGGTGGCCAGCGAGTCGATCCTGAAGTTGAAGTAGGCGCTGATTAGGGCTCGTGCTACGTATATCCTTTTTTCAAATGGTTAGCTGTGTTTTGCGAGCGAAGCGAGGACCGAATAAATTACAGGATGGGACCGCCTGCCATGCCGGTCCATTCGTAGGCGCCTAGGTTCTTGTAGCCTACTACGAGGAGCAGGACGATGGCGTAGACGAGGTACGCGAAGCTGAGGTAGAGTGTCCATAGGACTTTGGTACGGCGTGCGCTAGTGTGTAGTCGGTCGAGGCGGGCTTGGGAGGTGGTGATCTTGGAGGACAGTGAGGAGAGCGTCTTTTCGAAGGACGCGGGGGAGGAGTCGGTGCCCTGGGATTTCTGAGTTAGACGAAAGGGGTGTTAAGGGGGGGGGAGGGCGTTTTCTTGCCTTCCAGGGCCAGAGGGAGACCATTTTGGTGCTCGGGCTCTGGAGTGTGGGCGAGGAGTGAGGTGGGTGGTGATGTGAAGCTCGAGCTGAGCTGGCAGCTTGGAGATTGACGGAGGTGTGGCGGAGAGCATCAGCCACACTTTATCCAACGGCGCATATCGCTGAGGACTGTTTTGGAGTGGTGCCTAACTTTGATAGGGAGGATCAATGCGAGAGATGCCTGTAAGACTAAGAAGAAGAAGAATTGTTAAAAATACAGAGGAGGAGGGGTTTTCCGGCGGATGGCAGCCCGAGCTGCTTTCCCTGTTCAATGCTTGATGGCATGCGAGCCAGCCGCAGGCATTCTGTGGCTCAGCATCAGCCACACCCTGCAGCTGCTGGGATGACTAGGGGATCGACCAACTCCAGAAAGTGCCAACTTTCAATATCGTCACTCTGTGCAACGTCGGGTTTCTGAGAGCAGACGCAATGAGTGTATAGCCCAGTCACGTGTGCAATTCGTTCTATTTTTCTTTCTTCTGTCCATTGCATCACCGCCTTCTCTGTATTCCTGCTTTGCGTTCCTTATGCCTGCGCATTCCGATTCCTAGACACCACTTGTCCACTGGTCAGCCGCGGCCTGGCCAGCGCCAACGAGCACAATGTTCCAAGTTGGTCTCTCTATCCCTGTTCACCATCTATACGGCCCACAAAGAGCCAGCTCGATTGAACCACCATACTAACTGCCGTCCTCCTCCGCGCAGAGAATCAGAGGCGCCATCGACCGCACCATTGCCGAGGAGCAAGCCCGCCAGAAGGCTGTCGACAGCGAAACCCTTTCGAGGTCCGGATCGACGTCGTCTCGCAGGAGTGATGCCAATCCTGCCGGACGCCGACCCCGGCAAAAGAAACCGTCTGCCGATATAACTGACTCGGCGGCCCCGAACCCCGACCCGGCCGTTTTCGAGGCCGCCTTTGTCATTGACGATAGTGACGAGCCCAGCCGCTCGGGGACACCTGCGCCGCCCCCGCCCCCTGAGAAGGATAACATTGATGGAGGCAGGACGTCTGCTCCAAAGGGTGAGGAGGGAGATAAGTCTCTGGCCAACGGTGCGAATGCGGATAAAGAGCACGCAGATGACAAGTCGAAGGAGGACGGGGATGCTCCCGCGCCTGCGGAGTTGAGCCCAGAGATTAAGCAGCGGCTGAGGAAGCTAGAAAAGCTGGAGTCGACGTACCCGGGTATGCGGGACTCACAGGTGGTAATTAATTGAGCGGTGTGCTGATGATTTGTTACAGAGCTCCTGCGATCATATAGGGTTGCGCATAAGCGCGCAACAGCTATTGAGCCCTTCGAAAAGGCGCTGCGCGAGAATACGCCGCTTACCTCTATCAACGACCCGGACTCTCTGGTCGAATACCTCAACCAATTGAACTTGAGAGGTGACATGGTCATGGATGAGCTCAAGAAGGTGTCTGCCGACAAGGAAGAACTCAAGAAGAAGCACGCCGAGACCGAAGAGAAGCTCAAGAAGGCGCAGAGCGAATTGGAAACTCTCAAGAGTGGTAAATCTATCGAGGCTGCTGCCGAGTCGAGCGGACGAAAGTCTTTAGAACCACCTGCCCGCACTAGCGTTGATGTTGCTGCCGAGAAGGTCAAGTCCCCTGTTGCGTCCGTCATTAGCATGTTCTCACCCAAGCAGAAGGCGCAAGATGCCCATCACGGCAAATCAGAAAGCGAGGACTTTTTCTCCTACGACGAAGAAATTCCCCAGTTGCAGGCCGAGGTGGCGTCCAAGACGGAAGAAATTGAGCAGCTCAAGGGCAAAGTCGAGGATCTTGAAAAAGAGCTGTCCATTGCCAAGGAGAACAGCGCTGGCTTGGCAGAAAACTTGGAAAAGACAAGCAAAGCATTGAGCGAATCTCGGGAGGCTTCCGGACCGCAGGCATCGCTACGAAAACAGCTCGACGAACGTAACCAGGAAATCAGGGCACTAACTGAAAAGTTGGACGCGGCACAGTCAGAGCTGAAGAACCTGGAAGGACGGGCGGAGAGGGATAAGAAGGAGCATGCGTCAAGGGTCGAGGATGTCGAGGCCTCTCTTGCCGAGTCGGACAAGAAGGCCAGTGAGCTTGATGCTGAGCTCACCAAGGCTAATAATGCAAAGTCCATATCTAAGAAGCTGATTGACGACCTTAGCACCCAGATCGAGAGTCTCAAAAAGGACAAGTCGGAGAGTTTGGCAAAGATTGAGGAGCTCACTAAGAAACTGGATTCACCTGCTACATCCCAACCGACTACCACCCAGCCAACTCCTGCGACACCTCCTGCCGCTGGAGGCTCCAAAAAGAAGAATAACAAGAAGAAGAAGGGCAAGGGTGCTGCCGGTGGTGCCACTACGGCAGCTCCGCCTCCAGCTGAAGAGGAGGACACCAAGGAAGCTACTGAAAAACCGGACAGTGCTGCCCTTTCTTCCCTTGAGGCTGAGATTGCCAAGCTCAAGACTGAGGTTGAAGAAAAGGACCAGCAAATTGAGAAGCTTTCCAAGAGGCGCAAGACCGAGGAAGATCTACGGGAGGAGATTGAGAATTTGCAAGAGAACCTGGTCAACATTGGACAAGACCATGTTGAAGCAAAGGAGAAGATCAAAGAGCTCGAGCAAGAGAAGACCAAGCTCAAGGAACATATTGCTGAGCTCGAGGCCCAGGTTGGATCGTCAAAATCCAATGCAACTTCCAACGCAAAGGTTCAAGGCGACCTGGACGCTCTACGAAAGGAGTATGATGATCTCAGGGACAAGTCGACCACGTTACAATCTGATTTGGGCGCTGCTCAACAGCTAGCTCAGACCCGGTTCAAAGACCTGACGGACCTGAGGGAAGTACTGCAAAAGGCACAGCCGGAGCTAAAGAGCTTAAGACAAGAGTCGGCCGAATTGAAGACAACCAAGGAGGAGCTTGCCGCCAAGATCAAGGAGCTCAAGACTGCAGAGAAGAGGGAGTCGGAGCTTAAGCGTGACGTCAGCAAAGCCCAGCAACTGGTGGCTGATGGCGAAAAGGAGATCAAGAGCCTACAAGAGAAGCTCAAGTCCGAGGAAAGCAACAAACAAAAGGCGGAAGATGGCAAGCGCACGGCTGAGAAGGATCTACGACGGGCCGAGGCCGACAAGATTGAGCTCAGTGCCAAGGCCGAAAAGACGGAACGCGAGCTACAAAGGGCACAGGACGAGCTCAACAAGCTGCGGCCGCGTGTCAAGGAGCTGGAGGAGCAGATGCACAAGCTACGCAGAGAAAAGGCCGCGTCGCAGGAGGAAGCGGAATTCAAGTCGCAGCAGTACACCAACGCACAGGGCCTGTTGACTAGCATGCGCGACCAAACGACGGAGCTGTCTGTGCAGCTAAAGGAATCCAAGTCGCAGGCAGAGTCGCTGGAAGAGGAACTGGTCGAGGTGCAGCGGCTGTTGCAGGAGCGAACGCGTGAGGGAGAGACGATGCGGCGCCTGCTGGCAGACGTGGACGAGCGCGCAGACACCAAGGTGCGCGAGATGCGCGGGCGCATGGAGGCGGCGATTGAAGAACGCGAGCGCATCGAAGACGAGTCGAGCACGCTGGCGAGGCGCAAGGCGCGCGAGTCAGAGGAACTGAAGACCAAGATTCGCGAACTCGAGCGCGAAGTCAAGTCGCTAGCCAGCGAGCGCGACGAGCTCGAGGAGCGGCAGAGGGAGTGGAAGCGGCGCCGGGACGAGCTCGAAGCCATCGAGTCCAAGGCGTCGGCGGAGACGGAGGAGATGCGCACGACGGTGTCGCAATTGCGGTCTGCGCTGGACACGTCGGAGACGCAGCTACGCGATGGCGAGAAGCAGCGCGGCGACCTGCGCAAGATGCTGGACGACTCGCGGCAGCGCTATGAGAAGCTCGCCAGGGACTTGAAGACGGCGCAGTCGAAGCTGGTGGCGGGCTCGAGCCGCAGCTCCATGGACTCGACGCGAAGCGGCAATGGGGGCAACGGCGATACCATGTACTTGAAGACGATATTGCTGCAGTTTCTCGAGCAGAAGGACGGGAGACTAAGGGCGCAGTTGGTGCCTGTGCTGGGCAAGTTGTTGAAGTTTGACAAGTAAGTAGCCTTGGTCTTTTCTGAGATGCGAGTCTGACGTGGGAGCGCTAACGTTTGTCCAGGAGCGATGAGCAGAAGTGGTTGAAGGCGGTGCAGCACATAGAAGTCAAGTGAAACGGGCGACTTGGGGAGTTGGGTGTATTAATACCATGAGCTCATGACGTGGGTCCTGTTTATGAGTATAACTTGTCACGAAGGACGGATGGACGGGCTGGCTAGACAGTGTGTATATATGATATATCCATCTGCCAATGTATCCCGGGGAATACAACAGACCAGTGACAGCGTTCCAACCAGACAGTGGAAAGCTGGAGCCGCTTAGGTACCAAAAAATGACGCGAACATCTCGGCTGTACATGATGCCATGGACCGCTTCAACATGGTGTTTTGTGCCGGGGGACCGAAACCCTGCATATAATGCCTACAAATTTCCACAACCAGGACGCGAGCCGCGTTACTGAATGTTGCCAACATGCTTCGTTTTCAGCTACTTTAACCGTGCCCTTTACGCGTGTTCGGTGTTGGACCAAGGCCCTCGCAACCACCGTGTCACGTCTTCCCGGCCACGCATCAGCAAACATCTACTTATACATCCATCCCTTGCGCCCCGTCCACAGCAACGAGCCCTCGAAATGAGACACGCACCCCCAGCCTCGTGCCGAGTCCCATTCCTCGACCGACCGCACGTCTCAGTCGAGTAAGCGCGGCGGCGCGCGTATAAAAACCCACGCGGGCACCTATCATCCCCCCGAAAAAAAAAGGGGGCCAGCAACGCTCCCATTTTCCTATCCGACCGACTTACGCAATATCCTTGTAATACAACCCAGGTCCGTCCGGAGCCCTCGGTACATGCTGTCACGATGAAGCTGCACATTGTTGCCCTGGTCGGCGCCGCCGTCGGCCTGCCCCTGGATCCGGCCAACGGAGACGGCTCCGGCGAAGACTGCTACCCCGTCGACTACACGCCGCGGTGCGCGCCGGGGAAGCTGTGCTCGCAGGTGGCCGTGCCCGGACTCGCGTGCCCGTGGACGTGTGGCGCGCCGCTGCCCGATGCGTGCGAGGAGCGCTGCAAGCCGTGCCGGGAGGAGGTGTGTCCGACGGCTTGTGTCTGCGAGGGGGTTTGTCCCATGGGCAGTGGTGGGACGGGCGCGCAGGCGTGATGATCAATGGTCGTTGCGCGCCATCTTGCCCGTGTGCTGGCATAATCTATCCTCGTCGGCCCTGGAACGATGGCTCACGTACGAGACACTCGACGACGGTTATGCTTGGTCACAACTCATCGGACCAAGAGGGGAAAGGGCGTGCCTCTTGGCCCCTGGATACGACGTGGGATACGGCGCGAGACTAAACACTGGAGATACACGGGGAATGTGATGAGTGGCCTTGGTCGTTGCTGGCAGGACCTATTGCTTGATAGTGCGGAAGGGGGGGGCAACGGAGGAAAAGTGTCCTGTCTCTTTACATGTGAGGAGCAAGAACGGGTCCAAGTCTCATTTGTCTTTTTTGTTTCATGCGAGTAGGCAGTAGTACGGCAGATTCATAACATTGTTTGCTCTTTACATAATGCCCAGGGAGTGTAGCAGCTTACATGTCTGCCATTCCTCCAGACTACTCCGTACAAAGACAAGTATAACATATCAACGCCTTTATTTCTTTCCATGGTGCGTAGGGGAGTGTAACACTCGACATGACCAATATCTACTGTTTTTCATAAAGATACCAAGAAGAAAGAGATGCACTTGATCCAATAGATTCTTTGCTTCCGCAATTCCACACCAAACAAAGCATAGCATATTGATAATACATACAAGCCAGGGACACAACCAAAGCTTGCTGGTCACACCGTACTTCTAGACTAGCCACAAGACGAGCATTATAGCGTCTTTGCGTCTGCCAACGAAGACCTGGTAAACAGGACACAAAAAGAGTCTTCCCAAGCACCTCAGCACCAGCCTACCCTACATAAACATATCCCCTCCAGCGGTGCACTTCAAAATTTCAAAACAGACACGACATTCGCCTCCATCTCGAACGTATAAACTGGTCAAAAACAGCCTTTCCCAGTCGAGACAACTTCATGCTCTCGGCTGCGTTGGTCGCACTCACGCTACACCCCCACCACTCGGTGCTGCCCAGCGCCGGCTGTCTTCCGTTCCCCGAATCATCCAGGTCCCGTCAAGCCGCAACGGCCCGTATCTCGATATCAATATCGATATCGATAAGACGCCCCCGGTCATGTCCCCTCGTGACAGCACGCACACCCCCCTCCCCCCCCTTTCGTAGGGCTGAAAAAAAAAATAAAAAAGCCTTGAGCTAAAATGGCCCTCCGTCCGAAGCGAGATCTGGGAAACAAGATCCTCGGTACCGAGCACGGAGTACCGACAACGACGTGCATCCCCAGACGCAGGGTCCTCGTCACCCCGACGTCGTTGCGACATGAGATCCCGTCCCACTGCCACGTCGCGACTCACATTTGACTCTCCATTATTACTAGGCTAACGCTTGCGCCCACTGTGAACAAGAAATTGGCTCTGTTATGGCTGCAGCCCTTGCAGGACCACTCTCAGCCTCACTATCTACCTATTCCAGTTCATACAACGAGAGTATGTATGCCGAGTGGGTTGTGCCACCGGCTCCCCTCAGGGATTTCCCATACCAAACATATATTCCGTCACCATCGCATTGTAAAATGCAGCGTGCCTCTCTTCAAGAGAAGGCAATGCTCCAGTCTTGCCACCTCCCATTCTCAAGTGGTCCTTGTGAGAGAATAACGCCATACATGCAATATCCTGAAACATACAACCTGGCCCGTGTAAAGAATGTCCAGCCCAGTCGTCGGAGAACCAATCTCAGATTTGATAAAAAAAATGAGACGGCACCCTCGAACAAGGAAGCCGAAAAAACTGACATAAGAAAATTGATCCAAATCAATCAAAAACGTGGAGTGGAGTGACGAAATCGCAATGGGGGTCAACTTGGATTCCACTCCGGGGTATCGTGATGTTCCCTAGTGCTCTGTGTATCGAGTTGCTCATGTGTGCCGTGCCGTGCCGTGCCGCGTCATGCCATATACCGCATGCATATCAAAACTAGAATAAAGGAAGAGGAAATAAAAATAAAAATAAAAAAGTTTCGGGGATAGAACGAATCAAATGCTGTGGCTTGGAGGGCCGTAGCTCGTCCGGCGCAGCCGAATCCATATTGTCCAATGCCAACCGGCTGATTAAATCAACATATCGTTAAACAAGTCCGTAAAGCGCTATTGTAAATCCTCGTAACGCGACCAGTCATGCGTGGTCGTATGCACAACTTGTCGTTGTCAAGTTGATTATTTGTGGGTGCCAATCAGTCTAGAGGAATCGACGAACCCAGCCTTGTTCCAGCCAGCCCACCTTCTCGAAAGCCGTCCACAGCTTTGATGCCTTGTTGACGTCAATTTTGCAAGCCTGCTGCGCATCTGTCTTGCGGAATTCCTTGCCCGTGCGAAGGCACTGGAGGCGACGCTCAAAGATGCGACGCTTGCTTGTGAGATACGTGGCACAGTCCAGGCGCAAGTTTCCTGCCAAAAGAAGCTCGTCGGGGTGGAGCAGACTGGCGTGCGGATCACTGCTGAGATCAATTGGCTGGCCCTTCCAATCCACCTTGAGGCTGTTGGAGCGATTGGGAAGCGAGTTCAAAGGGGGGCAATAGTCGGGCAGTGAGTTGAAGTCCTTGTCCTCACGATTGGGAGCCACGACCCGACGAGACGGTTCAGGAGTTGCGCTAGTGCGGCCCACAGGTCTTACCGGCGTGGTTCCAACCGTTGTGGCGTTGGTGCGAATCGGTCTCGGAGTTGCATGAGGCTTGGAGATTCGATCAGTCCGCTGGGATCGGGGAGGTTTGGCGGCAATGGGCTTGGCTGGCATGATTGCATGGTATCTCTGGGCGCCGGCCCGTCTATCAGCCTCGAGAAGGGCCCGTTCTTTGCGCAGCCATCCTTTACGGTTCGTGGTGAAGTGCGTCATGACCTGAGATCGAAAGGTGAGGACCAGCTCGTAATCTTCTCTCTTGGGTGGCGTGACGCCACTGAAAATGCTCTGCGAGCGGGCGCGAACGTGTTCGTCAACAATGCGTTGGTGTTCAAGCTCAGCGGGAGCAAACAATGGAGGCTGCGGAGGACTGGCCGGTGAGTGCTCGTCGGCAGGGTACAAGACGGGGTCCTTGATGGGCTGGCTGTGTGGCGTTGCAGGCAGGGTGCTGCTCGTCGTCGAGATGGGTTTGCTGTAAGGCGAGATGGGCGGTGACATGGGCAGCGGCTGCTGCGCCGACGATTGTTTGCCATTGGCACCGCCCGACTTGTTCAATACGGAATTGCCATGATGAAAGCTGTCGAGCACGGCGTCGGGCGGTGACATCAGGCTGGTAATGTCGAATTTCTTGGACTCAATTGGCGGTGGCGGTGGAGCCATTGACGAGTGCGCCTGGTCGGCGGACGGTGAATGTGATGCCATTGGAGGATTGGAGAATCGACGTGCGAAGGGGAAAAAAATTGAGGGAGAGGATGATGAGGAGGAAGCAAGATGGGTTAAAGAAGACAAAGATGATGGAGTTGCAGTTATGGTAGGCTGCTTGTCCTTATCGAAGGTGGTGGAAGTGTGCGCCTGACTGGATGTCGGTTTGTCAGCCATTGCGTGTGAGTTGGGCTGTCACTTCTGACGAGGAGACACAGTGACGTGGACGGGTGGCGAAGACCGCTCTGGAGCTGCGCGAGTAGGCAGCAGCCACAGTCGGAGATACAGTGCCCGAGTCCGAAGGTTACTGCCCGCCGGAGTTTGGAAACTTGGGAGACGGTGCAATAAACTAAGCTTGTACAGTAAAAGCCAAATCCAACAAAGAGAGGGGGAACGCCGTCTTTATCGTTTTGTGGTTTGCTCCGATTTTGGCGGTGGGCAGTGGTAGCGTAAGGTTCCAGGGAGATCGCGTTTGCGAGGCGACGACGGCGGAGGGGGTGTGGGTTGATTGATTGATTGATTGATTGATTGATTGCCTGCGTGTTATGCGCAACTGGTAGACGATGCGCGTGTGAGCCCGAGTAGACGATCCAATCACCCGGCTCAATTGCTCAATGTCGCCAG